CTGGCCCGCCCCTCCGCTGCTTGTGCAGCCGCTCGGGAAGCAATGTCACCTGATGGTCCGGCTCTCCCCAGCTGAGCCTGGCTAGAAACCTCATCTTACCAAGCCTGTGCCACCCGTACTCCCCTGAAGGAGCTGGTAGTCCACAAGTATGTGGGTCACATGCTGGGTCAGCTCCTCAGTCTAGTGCAATGAAATCCTCATCAGCTGCTGTGGTCTGTGTGTCATTTACTGGCAGTGTCGGAATGGACGTGGGCCCTAGCCAGGCATGGCTATCCGTTCTCCAAGGCAAGAGAAATGGATCAGAGGGGGAGCTGAGTTAGTCTGCGCAGGATAAACTTAAACAACAAATGGGCTGGTAGCACTTTAAAGACTAAAAAAAAAATATGTAATGGTACCTAACTGTCAGGGTGGTCAAATATTGGAATAAATTGCCAAGGGAGGTGGTGGAATCTCCCTCTCTGGTGATATTTAAGAACAGGTTGGATAGACATCTGTCAGGGATGGTGTAGACGGAGCTTGGTCCTGCCTTGAGGGCGGGGGGCTGGACTCGATGACCTCTCGAGGTCCCTTCCAGTCCTATTATTCTATGATCATGAGCTTTTATGGGTATATGTCCAGAACCAAAATAAATAGAGAAGGAGGAGAGAGGGAATGGGAAGGGGGAACAAAAGGAGGCAGTGGGTATATAAATATCAAAGGGAAAACCAAGCTGGTAAGTAACAGGCAAAAAATTTTAGTCCATAAACGTCTAGGCTGGCTCTTCTGCAAAAAGTGCTTTTGCGGAAAAGCGTCCTGCCAATCTAGACGCTCTGTTCCGAAAATGCTTTTAACGGAAAACTTTTCTGTTAAAAGCATTTCCGGGAAATCATGCCAGTCTAGACGCAGCCCTAAACTGGATAGTTAAGAAGCAGATAAGGACCATTAGTTAGCGATTAGAGAGGAAGAGAACTAACACCAGAATCTACACAGGCAAAGAACCATTGGTACCTTGGTTGGTTGGTTGGCTGATAATATTCCAGCCAGCCAGCATCTCGATGCAAACCATTGGCAGGAGAATTAAACTCGTGAATGAATTGTAGTTCCAACACTTCCCTGTGTATTTGGCTTGTGGAATTGGTCTGTAACAAAACAGCAACCTGAGCACCTACCACTGTGGGAAATGGCTGCTGGGCAGCTGGCTCCAGCCTTGCCCTTAGTAGAAAGTTTGCTGGCATAAACTAGACAGTCACACCCCTCTAACAGAGCCAGGATCTGCCCCCAAAAGAACTGTAGCCAGTGTAATCTCCAGGGGGCTCGTCGTGGCATAGCTAGCACAGAGAATCCCCACCCACTAGCTGCTGTCAAAACTAAGCACCGGCCATGCCTAGCTCAGACTACAGTGGGTCAGCGCTAGTGCAAACATGCAAGGAAGCACTGGTGGCCCTGAGGCCCAGAGTTCCTTCACGGGGTGGGGGGCTGCAGGTGTTGGCCCTGATAGCCTAGTGTTGGCTAAGCACACACTGCTTCCTCCAGGCCTGACCCGCACAGGGCCTGGATACCTTCCACCTCGCTGAGAGACATTAAGGTCACTCCACCTACGGCATCCGGCAGTCTGGGCCCATTCAAAAAGGTCACTCCACCTACGGCATCCGGCAGTGTGTGCCCATCCAAACTTCAAGCTGAGGGCGAGAGAGGGAAGATGGCAACCCTGATTTTAAGGAGGTGGGCTGCTGTTCTCTGCTCAACTTTCCAGCCCCATGCTGAGAAGACCCTGGTGTCAGTTGGCACTAAGCTTTGCATTGAGACAGAGAGGTGTTGTCGTTAATGTTTTAGCCTTTGTTCTAAGAAGCTAACCAAACTAGCAAGGGTCTGTGGGCTCCCCTCTCGGCCCTACGCAGGTCTGCAATCCGTAACATCTCTGTGCAGGGACTGGTGGCATGGTAGAATATTTTTAGCTTTCGGTATAACTTAGCAGCTGGAGCGCACACAGGCCAGTCCCATGTGACCAGCGGTCTCCGCAGCCAATTAGGGAGGCCCTATTAAGCCGCCTTTCCATGCTAATGCTTTTCGCGAGGGTTTGGTTTTACTAAGTTCAGTCCAGCAGGGCAAAGTGTGATGGTTAAAACGCGAGCAGGCCTGCACATACAATCCTTTAACTAGCAGATTCCATGCGCACTGCGACCAGCTCTCGGCAACGGGTCCCATGTCGCGGAGGGAGGGTGCCAGCACGGGTGCCTTGTCCCTTAGCCCCAGCTTTGAAGCCTCTGGCAAGTTGAGAGACGGGTTGAGCTGAATCAATAACTGCCCACGAAAAGGATCTCTGCAGCGGGCAGAGCGGATTTGCCTGTTGTCAGCAGGCTGGATTTGTGCACGTTTCCGGGTGGATTAAGCCGAGATGGCTCAACCTCATGCCATGTGAGTTGTCAATTCCAACCTGCTCCCTGACCCCAGCTGTGCTGTGCTAGGATTCAAGGACCTTCAAAGAATTGATTTTCTGATTAGTACCGCCACGGACTTGCCCACCGATACACGATGCCACTAGATGGCACCCTACAGCAATAAGAGCCATCTAATACCTTAATACCTTGGCGATGTAGCCCTGTTGGTCCCGGGAGAAAGAAGGTGGCTGAGCCGCCCTTTGAAGCAAGAGACGAGCTGTCAAGTGCCCCAAAAGGAGGCAAGAAAGCTTTCACCGGCAGAGCTGTGTCCCATGTAAGAAAATACGTCACCACCCTTGTCTCTTGCGAATGGCACGTGCATCTTGAGCAGGGAGCTGAGAAATGTCAGACACAGCGTGTCTGAAGATTGACTACAGAACTTGGTCCCTATGAGAAATTGGCTGTTCCACTGCTGTCCAAGGGAGAATCGGGGTGGGCTGGTAGAAAATTACAGGAGGAGGAAAGAAGAACAAGTGAGCATTTTCTCCATTTTTGTAGCTTGATTTGAATGTCCATGAAGCCAGAGATTCATTTTGGTCCTTCCCATCCTGTGGTCCCCAGCTGGCTGGCATGTTCTCATTAAAACAGCTCAAAAGAGCGGCTGGCTTGGCTGTGCTCCCTGGTAGATCGCTTCAATTGTCTCTGGAGCAGTAACACAGTTTCCGCCACTTTGCTTGACAGCATTTTCTGGCTGCATTTGAACTCGGAACGGGCTTGCCTGAGTGTTTCTGTTCGGGTGTCTCGTTTCAAATGGACTTTCGTGTATTGGGGCCAATGCTGAAAGGGTTAAATTGCCCTCCACCCATGATTGGTGTTTCCCTTGCCTTGTGCCCATTTTTGCAACAGCAGCCATGATTGGTGTTTCCCTTGCCTTGTGCCCGTAGCTTTTTGCAACAGCCAGGGAGGGAATCTTAAAATGAAGGTTACACTTTGCAGTGAAAAATCACCCCTGAAATCGGAGTCCTGTCCTGGTTCCTGATTGAGAGCCGGTGTGCTGTGTCTGCTGTTGGACGTCTGACTGTGAATAACACCCGCACACAAGGAGCGCTGTAAGGAAGCGCCGAGTTTTACCAGGACACAAGGCAGTATTCTAGCGCAGGTTGGCGGTGACGGCGTGCACCACGTGAGAAACCAGCTGCGCACACCCACAGATGCTCTCTCTTTCCGCTGGCCTGGCCCTTGCTGATTAGAACATCCCAGCATGAGCAGAGCAGGGTGTTTATTAAAGCAAGCTGATTCGGAAGCGTGTACTCCCAAGGGGGGTGAGCAGGGGGAGGGGTTGGAGGGCTAGTCAAGCATTACATCCACCCAGAGCAGAGGTGGCTAACTTGTGGCCTATCAGGTAATCCACAGGGCCGTGCTGGCTACTGCTTCCCCATGGGCTGGGAATGGCAAATCATGGCTGGGGGGCGGGGCGGGGGGG